ACCCCCACACACATCACCACCCACACTCACCCCCTGCTCCACACCAAACTGCAGATCCTGTTTGTCCTTCTCTGAGACAGCGGGCAGATCCACAGCGGTGCCGGGCAGATTACATCCCTTCTTGCTGCCCAGTACACCTCCGTTCTCTATGTCACACATCACGAAATCTTCACCTGGGGGAGAGATACACACTGTCAGTACACACAGACAGACAGACAGACAGACACACACACACAGCGGTGCCGGGCAGATTACATCCCTTCTTGCTGCCCAGTACACCTCCGTTCTCTATGTCACACATCACGAAATCTTCACCTGGGGGAGAGATACACACTGTCAGTACACACAGACAGACAGACAGACAGACACACACACACAGCGGTGCCGGGCAGATTACATCCCTTCTTGCTGCCCAGTACACCTCCGTTCTCTATGTCACACATCACGAAATCTTCACCTGGAGGGAGAGATAGACAGACACACTGTCAGTACACACAGACGCACACACACACACACACAGCGGTGCCGGGCAGTACACACAGACAGACAGACACACACTGTCAATACACACACAAACACCTCCGTTCTCTATGTCACAGATCAGGAAATCTTCACCTGGGAGGGAGAGATAGACAGACACACTGTCAGTACACACAGACAGACACACTGTCAGTACACACAGACAGACACACTGTCAGTACACACAGACAGACACACTGTCAGTACACACAGACAGACACACAATGACACACACACAATGACACACATACATACACACAGCGGTACCGGGCAGGTTACATCCCATAATTAAGACATATATACAGAGACAGATAGACAGATACCGACCTTTCTCACCAACAATGACAGAGATAAGACACGTATTCAAAGACACACACACAGACAGACTGACAGACAGAGATAGATATCGACCTTTCTCGTGAACAATGACAGAGATAAGACATATATTCAAAGACACACAGACAGACAGACACAGACACAGACAGACAGAGATAAGACACATATTCAAAGACACACACACAGACAGACTGACAGACAGACCGACAGACAGACAGAGATAGACACCGACCTTTCTCGCGAACAATGACGGAGATGAGTCCGTCGTCGATGAAGATGCGACTGCCGGGCGTGACGACCTTGGTGATGTTCTTGTAGTCCACCCACAGCAAGTTCTTGTTACACTTGTCCTGGAAGCTGTCGTCTGTCGTGATCTTGATCTGCTCACCTGTCACTAGGGTGGCTTCTGCC